TCTCTCTCTCTCTCTCTCTCTCTCTCTCTCTCTCTCTCTCTCTCTCTCTCTCTCTCTCTCTCTCTCTCTCTCTCTCTCTCTCTCTCCCCACTACTACTACTACTACTAGGATCGTAACCCTGGATACATCTGCTCTACTTCAACTGGACTTCAGCTATGGAAGCTATGGCCGCCTTCTCCTCCTCAACCCTAACTGGTGTGCCGCCGGGACTCGGGATGTCTGCAGCTTGAATCCTTTCAACACCAAACTTTGTCAGCATAACACCAAGGAAGTCTGCTCTGCATGAAAGTGCATCGGTAACCACATGGAACTTGCCTTTCAGATACAGTAGCGTGAAGTCAAACTTGTTTATATATGTTGACCACCTTTCAAGAGCATCAGAAAGGGTCAAGTCAAACCATGTACACGTGAGCTCCAGCTGCGGCTGCCTCCCCTGGACTCTTCTGGACTCTTCTGGACTCTTCCAGAAGGCAGTGCCCACAGGTAGAAATCCGGTATCCCCGATGGCCTTGCCCAAAACGGCCTTCAGAAAGTTGGCCTAGCAAGGGCCCGGACTGGTTCGCTCAGAACCAACAAGCCCTCAGCGCCTCTCATCTGGCTGGCTGTTGAATCTCTTGTCTCAGTAAACCGACTTCCTGTTAGGTGTACTTTTCTTTTTCCACTTTTTTTTTTTTTTCCCCCTTTCCTTTCACCCTTCTTTCCTTTTTTCCCTCCTTTTTGCGAAGTGCAACGGCCTTGAGATTGAAGTTGATTGAATAGACCGGCCCCAGTAATTCAGAGTTATTTTATTCTGTTCATATGGTTGCATCTTGATTTGAACTCAGTCTGTATTTCAGCAGCTCATGAGCGTAGTACCAACTGAGCTAGGCCCGACAGTAGGTGTGCTTATGGTTCCATCTTGACATGGGTGCAGGACACACAAACTTGGTTGGGCAGAGAACAAAAAAAAAAGAGGGCATACCTGGGGTGACAGTTGAATTTCTGGGAAACTGCAATTCTTCTGAATCTTTATGCGATCAGACAATGATGACGTAATCGAAAAAGCCCAGCAGGATCCGCTGTGGAAAAGACAGGGAAGGGGAGAGGGAGGGGGAGCGGGGGGGGAGAGGGAGGGAGGGGGAGACAGGGAAGCAGATTAAGGCACACAGAGAGCACAAACTTAAGAACAGGGGGAGAGGAGTTAGAAGAAAAGGGAGATGAAGTGAAAGGGAGAGGAGAGTGGAGATAAAAGGAGGACAGCGAGACAGAAAGGGAGAGAGGGAGGGAGACAGATGGAGAGAGGGGGAGACAGAAAAGGAGGGGACAGGACAAACACATGATGGATGGACGGAGTATCAGACCAACGGGGAGGCAAAACAGAGAACACCACACCAAAAGTTGACGTCAGAAACATTGACTCTCTCTATGTTAGAAATTGGAACCAAAAAAAGCTAACTGCAGTGAGGTGCCAAAAGGAAACTCAAAAATTAAAAATGTACAAGCCTTCTCGCCCAGCAACTTTGCTTGGCCGGAAGCCTTGATTTAGCAATCTTTGGGCGTACTCACACTGGGACTTTCCTGGATCAGGCTGGATGCATACGACCGTATTATGACGGCTTTACGGACCAAGCCTGGATGCATCTGACTGCAAATTATGTTCACAGAGAAGTAGAAAAGGTCCTAGGTTCAAAAGTCCTCATGGTTAAAAAAAAAAAAAAAAAAAAAAAAAGTCCTGGTGGTTTAATAACGGTGTGGTGGTTTGACAACGGTCATATACGGGTAGCATTCAACCATATGGGCTGGGTATCACTACTATCACATAATTTGAGGTAAAAAGCTGGCGGTTTTGTCTCTCTACTATCTCTATATCTTTCATCAATCACCATTGCGGTGAATTGGGCCTTTTTTTTTTTGTGTGTGTGGGGACCATTTATCGATGTATATGTGTCATCCTTGTGCAGAGGCCATGCTGATGTTCGCTGTATCGTTCCAACTTTGACGGATGTCCCAAAAGGATATTTGACCTATTTTTTCAATTGCAGTAAATTGAAATATTCTTTGTAGGCTTGCATGGGGAATCCAGTGCAACCACCACGATCACGACGATCACATGACAACCACCTTGTCAACATCCACCGACGCAAGACAGGCCCTCTTTTCTGGCCTGAAGACTACTCAGAACGGCGGACGGAGGGTTTAGGGTTTAGGGTTTAAAAGAGCAGGGCACAAGGGAGGCGGAAGACTGATGGGTTAACAGAGCAGGGCACGATAAAGCAACAAAGGTAGACCGATGTAGAGACGGCGTCCCTTTAGGGAGGACGTCGTGAATACAACGAATAGCCAACAGCTACAACAGCTGAAAGGAGTTCAGAAACTCTTAGGAAGGGCACATAGGAAAGGAGAGAGACGAAGTTTTGGCTTCCTCACAAGTGAAACTGGTTAACGCTGCCAGGATAACTCCGGGTCGAATTGTGAGGTCCCCAGCCACAAATTTCAAATCTAATAATGAAATGTTCTTTTAATATATATGCAGGGCAACCAGCGTTCGGGACGGGACAAATGGCCGAACGTGCGGGACCCCTTGGGGATGCGTTCGGCCGTTCGGGCCGAACGCGGACCCAAAAAGAAAAAAAAAGAAAAAAAAAAAAGATGTTATGGTGAAAAATAAAATAAACAACATATGCCTGAGCATTACATCCAAATTCCTTACCAATTTTGAAATAAAAATAAAATACAGAAAATAAAACTAATAATAAAATAAAACTAATAAAAATAAGATGAAATAAAAAGAGACATAAAATTAGTGAGTGAGCGAGCACGTTGTCGACACCGCCATCTTTCAAATGCCCTGAAAATTTACAGATGTGTACTTCACATAATACAAAACGCATCAAAAAAGTTTCAAAAAATAATAAAATTGTTTAGGCTGCGCAATAAAGTGAAAACAAAAAGTAAAAAGTTAAAAAACAACAAAATAGTGAGTGGGCGAGCACGTTTTGACACCGCCATCTTTGGCGATTTTTAGTTTTTGTTTGTCTCAGCCAAACGACTTCAAAATTTATAGGCACAAGGGGACCAGCCGCGGCTTCGCGCGCGGCGAAGTGAGGGGAGGTGTGAGCAGGAGAGGGACAAAATTTTGTTGCAGGTAGGGGAACTGGTCACAGGCGAGGAGGAAAAGGGATCAGCAGGCGATGAGGGCAAGGTTGCAAACAATGAAAAGAGACGAATTAAGAAAATGGAAATTGTCATGCTTGGAATGTTTGCATAGTGTGGAACAAAACGCAAAAAAAAAGTATAGAATGTAGCTTGCAGATTGATATTCTCTCTCTCTGCAGATTGATGTTTCTCTCTCTCTCTCTCTCTCTCTCTCTCTCTCTCTCTCTCTCTCTCTCTCTCTCTCTCTCTCTCTCTCTCTCTCTCTTTCTCTTTTTCTTTTTTTCTGTCTCTTTCTCTCTCTGTCTTTGTCTCTGTCT